CATCTGCAAACTTACTGAGGGACCACTTGATTAACTCATCCAGATGATCTATAAAGGTATTGAACAAGACCAGCCCCAGAACCGAGTCCTGGGGAACACCACTTGTGACCGGCTGCCAGCCGGATTTAACGCCGTTCACCACAACAAGATGTATGTATGTATGTATGTATATACGTACATACTTGGGAATGAGGGTAACTGCCAGGGGACAAGACCTGTGCTTGTATTGCAAATAAGTTTCAAGATAAGAAAAGCAGTACTAATTTTCAGATGTTTACTTCTGAGACAGTTGAAACGTGATGCTCGTTATCTTCTCCTTAATGCTGTGGTTCAGGGAATAAAACAACGTATTTACTGTCATACTCCTCTTGGCTTGAATGGTGGAATATAACACTAGTTGTGTTTTAGGCACTTGAGTTAGGTAGGTGTCATGGTTGACTGCTGTGTGCAGAACTGATGGAACTGGTGTAGAGATCGCTTACTCGACTGGTGTAGAGATACTTGTAAAATGCAGCAATATGCTCAATTTGCAGATGTATATTTACTGTGTTTAAACATTAATTGAGAAGTACCAGGCTAAATCTCATTTGCTTGCATGTTTGGTTTTTGTCTAACTGTAGTGCCTCATTTATGGCTATTTATAAGTGATTTTTTCAATTCCTTTCTCTAGAGTCCATAAGTGTATTGAATGATGCTCTGAGTCAGATAGAGTCTCAAGGGAATGTTTCTATGAATTCAACAAGCTCTGGATCAGTGGCCTCCTCATCTGTTGACACGGTAAGTATCTTTCTGTCTACCAGATGCACTCAAAGTTAGGTGAAGACCTTGAGCAGAGAGACTTGTGTTGCTGATCAGCTTCTACTGTGGCTTACTGCCTGCAAAAAGAAAGGTGGGTTTTAAACTGTGAAGTGAGGAAGCAGAGTAAGAAACATCTCCTGGTTCCACTGTTTATTTTTCTTATTGATGATGGAAAAACTTAAGTCTAAGTAGACTGAATAATGCAGAATGCAAGTACTTGTAAGTTCTGTAAACCTCTTTAGCAAGGATATTGTTAAGAAAAGGCGCCGGGGATGGGTCTTATCGGGCAATGTGGTTTTGCTCTGTCTCCTTCTCAATAGATAGATAACTTTTCCTTGTTTCAATCTTATTACAGTGTTAATTATTTCATTTGTGGTTTGTTTTAGAAAAATTCTTGTACATTGCTGGGAGCAGAGCTGTATGAAGTTATACTACTTTTGAAGTAAATTGCTTGCAGCAAGCTATAATACATTGTATTAGGGTTACTTGTACTGCAACAAATACGTTAATGTTTTATGGTATGTTTATTACTCATGCTTTATGTTTACATGTGACTACAAGGAAAATGCTCAACCATGAATTTTGTTTGATGTGAGAGTTATAGAAAGAAAACAAGTGCAATATTAACTATTATGAAGTTTTATTTTATACTGACTTTTAATTTCCAGGCAAGCATTGTTGGTCGGGAATTGGCTACCAACGTGTATAAATATACTCACTTAGAGCCTATTCTATATGCGCTTGGTGTGGGGATGTCAACTAAGGATCCAGATCACCTAAAATTTCTCTTTGAAGGAAGTGAAGAGTTCTGCTGTTTACCTAGCTTTGGAGTAATTCCTGCTCAGACTTCAATGTTTCATGGTGTTCCTTCTCTTCCAGGACTAAATATTGATCTCGCAAAGGTATGGACGAGTTAAGTATCTAATTTTGTTTGTGCTTTATATAACTATAAGGTGACTTTAATTAGTATGTTTGTAATATTAATAAGTTCCCTTTATTCTAGACAAGGAAAATTCAATGTTTTGTATTCTTACATCCTAAGAAATTATTTACTTACTTCACTTGCATAACCTGTGTCTTCCTAAGATAGTACGAATGATCAAGTTTTGGTTAAATTTTAATTTGCGTTCACTATGCTTTTATTAAACCACAAAAGTTTAAAACTTTCTTTGAAAATATGTTCTGTTGTGGATGAAATTGGATAAACAAAACAAAAAACTTGCAGGTATTTTTCTTTTATTTTTTTATTCTGAACACTTTCTAAAATAACTGTGTATTTCCTTGCAATTGTGGGATGGGGGAAGCAATAGAATACATTGATTGTTGTCACAGCACTGCTTTTCCTTACATAGATGCTGCATGGTGAGCAATACCTGGAACTGTATAAACCATTACCAACTTCAGGTCAGTCCTTTTGTATTGCTGATTTGCTTTTCACTGTGACAACAGTTCCTGTAGTCATGTTATAAATGGAAATAGAGAAGCTCTGTTTCCAGCTGGATTTGTTTTGCATATTGTTTTTACAAGGATTAGGGGAGAAGAGAGGCAACCTTCTGCATTACTGAAGTAATTCTGATCCGGTGTTGCTTTTTTATAGTATACTTAGTAAACTTCTGCCTAATCTTTGATATAATAAGCAAATCTACATGCTGGTGTATTACGTAGTTTGATACTAATTAGCAGAACTTTTAATTCTTTCTGTAAGGTTGTATCACAGAACTTTTGGGATGTTTACCTAAAAATTCTTCAACATTCTTTGTATCTGTGTGCCTATAAGATGACAGGACTTAAATTATATACATAAAGGAGGAATGGACATCTCGATGAGGAGGCTAAAAAACCACTACTTTTCTTCCTGTCAAAATTCTCAAGATACTAATTGCTGCAATAGTAAACTCTTTTCAGAGATGGCTGTGTTTTCCCAGATTACAACACTTGAGAGATTCTTGTTAGTCTCATTCAGGATATGCATGCATGTGTTTGGGTTTTTTTATTAGTAGTTTTTAAAAATTAACTTTTCCACAGTGTAGAAGGAATAAAAAAAAAATCCTGCAAGACACAGATAAATGGCATAATTTCTTGTTGAAACAAAAAGGAAATGCATGAAAGTTTTATTAACTTCAAAGAAGTCTGATAATTAATAATGGATTTCCAGGACTGCATAAAGCTTTCTATTTTACCATTCCATAGGCTGATTATGTAAACATATATGGTTACATATCTCTCTAGAGCAATAACCTCTTTAGAGACAAACTTCATAAACCCACAGGCCCAGGCCCTGAGCTGAGCTTCTCTTCTGTAGAACTGTAGTTGTCTAAGCCCTTTTGAAATTTGTGGACAGTCCTTAAGTGATTTGAGCTATCTTTGAAGTCAGTGATGTGTTTGAGTCTGAAATGTGATTTGTGCTTAGCTGTGAATATATAAACTGTAGCACAATTCTATTAAAAAAACCCAAACAATAAAACTTAAAAAAAAAAAAAAATTCTTCACATCTGTAAACCAAGATTGGCAAAGATTCCCAGACACTTTTATTATAACCATCATGATTGTGATTACTATGATTATTATTACTGTTATTGTTAATAAGGAAGTGTAAAGATTGGTCCGTGGACTTCATTCCTCAAGCAAAACCCTACAACATGTACGTGGTGGTCTTTTCTTACAGGGCAATTAACTTCAGTTTCAACAGTTGCTGATATTCTTGACAAAGGCTCAGGAGCAGTCTTGCTTATAGATGGTAAGAAAGTTTACAATTTTTGGAGGGGATGCAGTAAAATTTGACATGCTCAGTTTTTAACTAGCAGTACCAATAACTGTCACCCTTCCCACAGTAAAGACTGTTAGCTTATTAAGTCACAATGAGAGCTGAGAAATGAGTTTATTACCAATAGCTGTGTAAATGTATAATGTAATTGTTCTTGGGCAATTAACATACTGATATAAGAACAGTCTTTTTGGAAAAAGATTTCAGAGAGGTTTGGTTTTTTTTCCCCGTGTAGGTGGAATAGTGCACTATGCAAATTGAATAAAATTCTTTAATAATATTACTTAGTCCTGTCTGAAGGCAGACATTTTAGATTCTGCCTCCCTTCAGCAACATGTGTGTGCACATGCGTGTGTGTGCGTGTTTTGTGGGGTGGTTTTGCAAAGGTTAGTCATATGTGTATGTTGTGTAGACTCATCTGCAAAGAAGCCATCTTTAAGAGCGTGTCCTGTGTTCTTTTTTTATACCTACATTATTATTTACAAAACAAAATAAAAACCCATTTTATTCCTCTTGTATCCAAGTTAAAGGATCAAAATGTCTCTAGAAGTTGATAAGTTGTCTTTTCAAAATTTTGAAATCACTAGGTGTGGTCATGCCAAGGTCCCTTGGGAAATTAGAGTGCAAGAGTAGGTTAATATACAGTGAATCTCTAAACATTCTTGAGTATTTATTCCTTCAGTGTACAGGTAAAATTGTAAAAAGGTCTTTACTGCCCCTTTGTTCCTCCTAGCTAGTGTTTTTTCTTCCTTCCATACTGGGCTAACATTAAGCCTGTCCGTTTCTCCAACATGCAGAAGTTCTTTTGTTTTTTTGAGTAGAGTCTTAGAGGCTTTTAAATTTCTTCCGGAACTGGAAATGAACATTATTAACAATACTTTAAATTTCAGTCTAATGTGTAAGGGGGTGGAGTAGGCATGAATTGGAAATAGGAAGCTGAATCTCAATTCAGTGTAAGAATTTTAACTCTTCAAGAAGGGACAGATGACCTTAAACTAAAGCTTGTTCTGAAGGTCTTTTCTTACAAGGTACTAGTACTGCTTTTTGTATGAAAAAAACATACACTAGGAAAAAAAAAATAGTGGAAAAAAACATTACACACTAGGGATTCTTAATAGCTTCTAATACATCATATTTTATGGCACAATTATATTTAAATAAATTGCTATGCAGTGCGAGATACTGAAATAAATACTAATTTCAGCACCCTGTTGTCAAATGTTTTTAGCACCTTGAATGTCATCAGCATTTTGTTAGCTCATTTTGTTAGCTCATTTTCTAATTTCAATGCTTTCTTATAGATAAAACTAATGATAATGTTATTTGAAACAGATCATTAGTCTTCACTAGTCAGGAAGTGATTTGCAACAGTGCAACATAACAGTGTGACCATTGTCCCTTCAGTTGTTAAATGAACTTTTTATGTTTGAAGCTTCCCTCTTGTAAAAACACATCCTAGGTATATGAAAAAGGAGATTGAAGACAACGTATGATCTTCCTCTTTTGTTGTCTTTCAGTGCATACCTATTGTGGAAAGGACCTAGTGTGTTACAATCAGTTCTCTTTGTTTTTTGTTGGAGCTGGAGGATTTGGTGGAAAACGAACATCAGAAAAGGCCAAGGTAAATTCACGCATATTCATATTTAAAAAAAACACACATAAATACTTCTGTCAGCACTGCAAGAAAAACTAGGGAGGATAAACTAGCATTTTGAGCAGTGTGGGAGTACAAACTCAAATGGAATTTAAATACTTCTGTTCATTTAAGAGCCTGAGTAAAAAGGGACTGTTCAGGGCCTGGGAAGCCAACAGTTTTGTTTTGAAAATTAGGGAGAAAAGTGAATTGCTAAACATGCAACTGATGAGAAATACCTACATTCAAATATTTGAAGTTACAGATATGGAATATCCTAGTGGAAAACAGAATAGGAGATTCTCTGGAAAATGTTTAGAATATAAATTCTGTGGACTTATAATTAGAAAATGATGACTGAAATTAAAATAAAATTGCAATTAATATAAAATGCATGATGATGTGGACAGAATGCTCCTCAAGAGGATTTGTGTTAGATCTTTTAGCAGAGAGTCTTTTGAAGTTGACAGTGTAACAGGCTGTAATCTGACCCAATTTGACCCAATTAATTCCACAGAAGTGGTAGAATCTGACACATGCTGTACTTTGGGCTGTGCTAAATTCCTTAAAAATCCTACTTCTGTAGGTCAGATGGAAGATGCTGTCAGTTTAACTGTCCAATTTGGCAAGAGTTATTGACTCTGGGTTTTATGAAACCCAAATGTAGGCTTTGCAAACAAAATAAACCTTACATGTTTTGATTTTATGTATTTATTTACTCCCAGTCACACTTCCCATAAAGGAACAGATGAGGAAAGTTACTAATTTCTTGTTAAAAGCTAGCTTGGGAAAGGTTTTATTTTCTCAGTCTACTTTTGACCCCCCAAATTTTTAGAGACCTCTTAGATCAGAACGAGAACAGAGAAGTGGCTTTTATTTGTAAGACTTGGTTTTCTCAAGTAAATTTGGGGAGCTTTACCTCTCTTATACGCAGCTTTAAGATTTTTTTTGGCTCCTCCTGTTTGAGCATGGGCAGCAAGGAGAGTAACAGAGAAGTTGAGATTTTAGATACTTTGTTTAGGGGCCTACTACTGAGCTGTTGGACTGTGCCAACTAGATTTATAATAGAGTCCTGGTTTAAACCCATCTCAGCTCTGCTGTCATCATCACATTTCAATTTTGGCCTCAGTGCTTACATCTCCAATTGGGAATATGTGATCTGTGTGTTGTCAGTTTACCATTACAGTGTTTTCTGCTGCTCCATCTCAGAGATTTTCTTTGCTCCTGTTTAAGGGGGCGGGGTGGCTATTTATATTTAAAAATAAATTGATACCTAGTGATAATTTCATGTGTGTATATACAGAGAGCGTTCATGTTTAGTTTAGTAATTTGTTTTACATGTGTTAAATTTGTGCTAATAGGTATGATCATATGTTAATATTGCAGGATGTTGCTCTAGTAAAAAGACTAGCATAGTAAAAAGCTAAGAAGTACTCAAATGTGTGGTATTAGGTTTGAACTTGCAATTTCTTGAAGAGGTCTCTAGGTGTAGCTCTTTATAAATGTATGTGTTTGCATGAAGGAGGTTTGGAAAGCATAGAGAGGAAAAGAGAGAAGTAGCATTATAGTTTCTCCCTTCCAGTGGAGTGGAACTGCTGCGTTTTGTGAGAGTTAGCAGATGACAATGTCACATGAACACATGGTATGTCCAAATGCATGAGTAGCTATTCAGATACCTGACATGTAACTATTGTCTCCTTCAATAATATGTTTAAGGGTAGTGTCTGGTATGACAGAATGTTATTATTGTGAACTAGAGCCTTGAGGCACTACAGTAATAAACAGTCAGTTGAATAGAGGCTATTTTAAGCTCAGTATTTTTGAAAATTTATAATGAAATGCCTAGATTTTGTAAATCTGTAATACTGTAGGTAATGTTCTTTGTGATTTTTGGATGTAAACTTACCAGTTTATTCAGTTAAATCTATATCAATTGCATAGAAGCTTTCTCATATGTAACTTTACAGCTCAAATCTTGAAATGCCTGCTGCTTCAAAGAGAAATGGGAAAAGCCTTTCTGTAGTATACAATATTCACCAAATGTTATTGCAGGCAGTGTATAAAGGTCCTTGATGGAACCTTTAATTCTTCTCTAATCAGATTTTATAATAGTGCATGTAAAAAAATAGTGGTTCAAAGGAAATATTGCTAATCTATAGTGGTGGCATCAGTGAGTCTAGTTTTGTGCCTTGGCAATTTTTAGTTAAACATTGCTCTTCAGGCAACGGCAACTTCTTCACTCTATTTAATGAAGTATGAGAGTACTATATAAATGATTTTACATTTTAAAATATGAAGAATACCTGTTTCAGGCAGCAGTCCTTCTTGTGACAGAAGAAAACAAAATGTAGTCTAGTTAAGACAGCGCAGTGATAGCAATTTTAACATAGGCCTCTGCATGCAAGAGGCCAGTTTCGAACGGTAAGTTTTCCTACTTTGTCTTTGCAAACCTCCCCAGTTAAAAAGACTTTCATGTCCCTCTCTTCCAAAAAAAATCACACGCTGATCAGACATATTTTATAATGTGTCTTTTTGTCATTTCACACATTTATTGTATCTGCAAACTAAGGAGAACAAATTTCCAAGTTCAGGTCTATGATGAGCAGCACATTGTCTAAGTCATGTCTCTCCTCTTGAGTTGGGGTTTTCTTTGGCAGAGGAGTTTCCTTAACTTTTCATACGTTGGCTAGTTTTAACATCTTAATGGCATGGTAGGTCAGGTTGCGTTTCTTAAACCAACTGGAAACAGATTGGCAAGCCATTGTTGTTTTGAAAGCATGTTAGTTAGTGTCCTTGTTATCAGCCCGATTTAATATAGGTCCGTTGTGGTTCTGTGAAGTGACAAAAGCAGGAATAATGTTATCAAGTCTTCCACCCAAGAGGTGGCTTTGCTCTACTGTTAAACAGGAAAGACCCTTTGCTGCTGTTAGATGTGAAACTAAACAGCACGCAGTTTCCTTTGAGTTCTCTTTTCTTTGGTAAAGAGCTTACACAAACTAAGGTTAAGTAGAATTACTACAGATGAGAGTCAAGTGGCTTCCTTTGATTTTAGAGCTTACACCACTTTCTTTTTGATTGGGCTTTTTTTTTGGTGGTTCTGAAAACCCAGGAAGGAGAGGGGAAAAAAAGACTTCAGCTACTTTAATAGTTTGGAATTAGTTATGGTGTTCTTTGTGTTTATCATGACCTATGATGTTCTCTGTCAGTCTGTTGGTAAAGTTTATGTCTTCAAAACTGAACAACAAAGCTATAGATTACACAAGGAACAGCATTTTTACAATATTGTAGGGCTTAATATGCAGGATGTAATTGCAAAACCAAAAGAAAACAGTGCAAAATAAAAAAAGCTCTCAAAGGCCAAGAGTGATGTAGTCCATGAGTGAGGCAGTAAATAATTTTGTACTCTATTGTGCTTTTAAAAATATTTTAAAAACCTCTTTTTTGTTTCTGTGTTCCAAAACACTGGTATTCTGTGAGACAACTATTTTTTTCTGAGTGAATAGTTCTTGCTTGAGATTTTTTGGATAGTTTGGAAGAAATACAGTCACACTGATCAGCTATAACATGTAACTGTTAGCCAGATTTGATGCCACGGGATCGCTGTGTTTGTAAATCTAACCTTGGTAAGAGACTTTTTCTGGCCTAAATATCTTTTTGTCTGTAAATATAGAAAGGGTAGGAGGTATCTTAACAGGTTTGTAAATGCTGTTTATTTTTACACATACCAGACATACTCTGGCATGGGTGTGGATAAAAGTTTTTTGCAGTGAAATGTTAATACTACTGCTTTTGCTTTAGGTAACAGTGAATCCACCCAAGAGACCCCCTGATGCTGTCATTTCTGATGTCACAACAGCTGATCAGGTAAAGTTTTGTATACTCCAGGTGCGGAAATGTTTGTTTTGTTTGGAGAAAGGAGTCTTACGATGTTCACTAGCAAGTAATAGTTCAAATCTTCTGATATACCCCGGTATTTTTTTATATAGATATATTTATGTGAGTATATGTATATATATGTGTATATATATATATATAACATGAATTTTTGCTAGGTTAAGTTATGACAGTGTTCATTGTACTATCTAAAACATTATTTTCATAAGGCTGATGCAATTTTCTAATTGTTCATTATAAAATTCTACATAGAAGGAGAAAATGAACATTTGTATTCTTTTGTAGTTTAAAAAAAAAAGAGGTTTAAAATCTATGAAATTTGCAACAAATGGTGCAAGCAAAGAGATCATGACCCCCAAAAAAGAGCTTAAAGTTAAGTTTTGAAAGAGTTTAATTTATGTTGTAGTAGTGGTAGTAGTAGTCAGGTAAACCTGAAATACTGACAGATGTCTGTACGGGTATGCTTCCATCTGTCCACAGATCCCACTGGTTCACAGGCATTTATTTTCCATAGGCAAAAACCTGAGTAAATGAATATATCATCATCTGAACGTAAACATACGCAGGTGTCAGACAAATGAGACAGTATTAAGGCACTGAGCAGTATTTTCAAAAGCAACTTAGTCATAGCAGGAGGCTGTAACTTTTGGACACGCAACTAAAATTTTGAGCATCAGCTGAACTGTGGTAACTGTGATATCTGCTTAGCTTCTGATACAGCATTAAGTCTCATCCAGCTTATTCATGTGCTTAAAGTCCAAGTTAGCCCTACCCACTTAAGCCAAGAAAGAGAGCTTAGATCAGCATTTCTGTTTCTATTACTGATGTACCTGCTACATCCTACAGTTCACAGTCTAGGAGGTACAGATGTCTAATTCTTCTGAATAGGCTTCATAGAAGGTTGGCAAGGTGAGCAAGGAGCAGGGAATGGTGAGAGAGTACTTTGTTCCTGGGACATGGTTAAATGTAGTGGAAGGTACTCTCTAGTAGCTGGCACTTTTATTACATAAGATACAGCAACTCTAATGGCTCAGTAGTTAGAAGTATTTACTTTGAATGTTGGAACCCTAGTTCAGATTCTCTTCTGCGTGCTTATATTGGAATTAGTTGCAGGTCCATCAATTTTCAGATTATGTTTATGATCCCGTTTTTCATATGGTAATCATAGTGTTTAAGCCTTAAACTCTTACCTCTGGAATTGTTACTCTGTAAAAACTGCTAAGTTCATGAGATAAAAGAAGATGATAGTGACCCTGTAATGCAGAAGTTGGGAAACTTTGCTACTGCAAAACTGATTTTTTGAAGTAAAGGAAGTGGCACAGAGTACCCACCACACTTGTTTTGTTTTAAGATCTACTCTAATAGGTAGATATATAAAGAGAATTCCTCTCCAATTAGATCTAGCAGGAGCCACAGCCGTCGGACTTTGAGAGTCACAAAGAGGCTTATCTGCCAAATTATTCAGTAGTATTTGTGCTTAAGTGATGGATGCCTCTGTACAGGAGGGGGATGTGTAGAACTTGGGAACTTTATAGGCAGGGATGCAGACTTTCATGTGAAGGACAGCTTGGGGAAATGTTATCAAGATTTTACATTTATGTGTCTGTGGAATGACACATAACTGCCTAAAATCCTTTTTGAAAATGGAAGCTGGCACACAAATTGCATTGAAGTTTCTAAATTTTTTTTTCTTGGTGTTTAAATGAAAAAGGTGTTGGCAGAAATGGCTGTTGCCATTCAGCTATTGAGTTAGTACAGAGCATGAGACAGACTGGAAGAGTCAGTTTGCAGATGGCATTTGTGTTAACTTGACCTGTATTAATTTCCAATGAAAGTTCTGACATTCATTACTCAGTATTTGTGTTAGCACAATTACATGGCTAAACTGCTTTTCATAATTAGCATTTTCCCCCCTTAACTTTTCATAGCGTGATCACATAGTAAAAGTCCTAATAAGTAGACCATCATGCATATTTTAAAAATATTTGCAGGGATGACTCCTATCTTTCACTGAAGTCAATGACTGTGGTTATCTTGAAAGTTATATTCAATTCTAACTGAACTACATGGAGTTAAGTTTTTTCCAAGAGGAAGAATGTTTTTAGATGTTTTTAGACAGAAAGAAGCACTGCTTAGTGAAAGGGCTACTGGGAACAGAGGGCTAATGACCATTTTTGCCCTTCACCAAGTGTTCAGCAGAACAGAGTGTACAGCCACCTACAGTTCCTTGAAAAATGATTGTGCTATGTCAGAGACTATTGACAGAACAAACTAATCCTTTTGGTTAGTGGTATCAAAGATTAATAGCAGGTAGTACAATAAATGTTTATCCCTTTCAAATCTGTACCTATTTGTGAGAAGTTCTTTAAACACCAACCAGTGCTTATGAATGAGTTGCCGTACCATGGTGTAAGCTGCTTAAGGATGAAAAATGGTTAAGAAAAATTTAGAAGAAGTATCTGACCTTCTAAAAGGCTTTAAGGCTTAAAATTTGCATCCTGCTG